CTAACACACCAGAAGTATCCATATCTCCCCAGCTTCCCTCCATGGCCCATGCAGACAAGTCCCAACAAGGAACAAGGTCAAGTGAGCTGTCCTTCCTTCAGCAGGGACACCTTCTCCTTCATTTGCCAGCAAAGCCCTCCCAAAGCTGTAAGCAACATGCAAAAATTGCCTGCTGTGCTCTAGCCTCCTTCAGGCCTCTCTTTCTCCTGCTCCTCTTTTGGGTTTTTCATGAAAGGAAGAAGCCAACAGTGGCTGAGCCACTCTGACATTTTGCTATCATCCAAAAAGCCATTTGTAGAACTTGTAGAGGAGCAGAAGGCCTAAGGAAGGTTGAACTTGCAGATACACTATGAACTGTACTCTTGGCTATGTCATGTAACTGCAAGGTTTTTTTTTTAATATAAATGTATATCTTTTTTATATATATTACATTCTGTAAAATATCTGATGTCAGGTAAGGATGGTTCTCTCAGTCTTCCTCCTGAGAACAAAATAAAACTTTTTTATGTACTAAGCTTGTGCCCTGTGGCTTTTATTCCAAGAGGAACATAGTCAAGGCTGGTTGCTGATGTCTGCACGCCTGCACTCCCAGGAGAATCCTCACACCATCCCTCACTCTGACGGCTGCTCAGCCTTGGCCTGTGCAGCTTCTTGGGCTGAGACAGACCCTGAGCAGCCCCTGAATACAAATTACAAAAGAAGGGTAACAGAGGAGATCCTGCCTCCTTCAATTATTTATAGCCTTAGCACATCACTGAATAGGGGGGTAGTGGCAGGAGCAGAGGGCAGCAACCTGTTTGCTGACAATAGCAATTAAGTCTGAGTTCAATTGGCATGAGGAAAGAAATGTGAGATATGTGATTTTGCTTTAAGAAGTGTGAAAAATCAGCCCATCCCCACTAGCTGTTGGACTGAGAGAGCACATCCTCACAGCGGAGGATCTGCAGTGAGCTCAGATGCAAGCTGAGGCAGGGACAAAACTCTGCCGGACATCTCTGCATCAAAGACTGTGAGAATCTACACTCTGGAGAGAGCTAAAAATAATAGGGACTGTTTCCTCCTATGTGTATCCAGGGCTGGGAGCTGGGTTATTGATCCCTATTTTCCTATGGCACAGAACTGAAAAACAGCACCAGGCTCCTCTGCGTTGATGGAAGGAGGGTGGTGGATCTGGCTCACTCAAGGGTCTGTTAACACATCCAGAGACATCACGGGAGTAAAGAAGAGGAGAGAGAAAAAGCAAAATAAAAGCATGGTCCCCTGAGCATTAAACCATCATCTGTAGGATCTGAGCCTAGACAGCCCTGGGGCACATTAAAAAATATTGCTGCCCTTTAACAGATCACTGGTAAATCCAGACTGTCCCCGCCTCCCGTCAATAGCTCTGCCGGGAAATCCCATAGCCAGCCCAGCCCTCGCCCCCTGCTCACGGAGCTGCGGCTGCCGAGTGCCAGCCCCGAGTCCCCCACGGGCACCGCGGTGGCTGCAGGGTGGGCTGGGAACACGCAGCCGAGGAGAAAAGTGAGACCAACAATGGGCTTTGCATTTTCTGGCACCTCGCAACCTGCCAGAGTGGTGAGAGCTTCTCTCCAGGGAGACAGGCGCGGAGACAGCTATTTATCAGTCTGGCTGTGGTGAAAAGCCAACAAAACATCCCTGGGTGAAGTTTTGCTGTCCCTTGCTGCAAGTGCCAGACGTGAGCTGAGAGTTGGCTGTAGCAGAGCCCAGTCTCAAACAGACTGGGGGGACAGACAGGACCCGCACAGAACCCACAGAGACAGCATCCTTCTTCCCTCATCCCCTGGGATGGCCTCGCTGTTCCCATGACAGCAGGGGCCTGGCCAGGCCAGGAGTGCTTGCTCTGAACCCCAAAAGTGCCAAGAGCCACAGAAAGCAGAATTTTGAAGGCAGTTTGCTAAGAAACTAGTAATGGGCAGAACCGCATATTGCAAAGGGGTATCCTGGAAAGGACCCCAAAAATGAAGCCATGGCTGAGAAGCCCATGTATGCACAGTGGCTCTGAGTATTGGGGAGGAGATGAACGGGCTGCATGAGGGAGGGGACATGCTTGCACAGGATGAGGACACAGGCAGGCAAGAAGGCAGCAGTGAGGAGGGACCAGGGAAAAAGGAGCATATTCACACAAGGTCATGGATGGGGGAGCATGGCGGGTGTATAAAACACTTGCAGGGGAGCAAGAGAGGAGTCTGCCCTTAGAAAAGAGCCGAGAGACTCCAGCAGGAAAAGAAGGACCCCTGCAGTGATGTAGTCTCCACCAGAGTTGGCATCTCAGTCAGAGGCGAGAGAGTTTCCACTCAGCAGCTGGGTGGCTGGGGAGGTTGCAGACAGCCCAGACATGGTAACTGGGGCTGGGAAAACCTCAGCATGGAAAGAAGAGGGCTATGGGCAATGGCCGCAAGGAACTTGGCCCTATCTTTGCTCCATGACATAACGCCGGTGGGGAGGGAGCGGGCTGCTCCCAGCACAGGAGGGAAGGAATCTAGTCCAGGATCATCAGAGCTGCAGCAGAGCCCCTCATCAGGGCCACTCATGCACAGACCAAGCTCGTACCCACGTAGGAGGGCCTTGGGGGGGACCATGCTACAGGGGAAGCAGCTGCTCACAGAAATAGGAGGGAGGGCATCCCCCACGTGGGGAATGCTGTCCCGTCCCAGTGCTGGCGGGTCACTGGTCCCAGGGGTTCCCAGCGCAGTGCCGGAGATCTGCAGCTCCATCTGGTGGCTCCACGGCCAGGGCTGCTCAGGCTGCAGAGAGAAGGCGCTAGTGAAGGGAAGAGTTGGTAGGATAAAAGCAGGTCAGAGCACTTAAGAAACCAAATCCACAAGGCGCCTGGACCACACAGCGTTTTCTTATATTCATTTTTCTAACTAATAGCCTACAGATTGCATATCTGAGAATACAGACGAATCTTACAGTAGCAGAAAGAGCAGCATATCCCTTCAGGATACAGCAGGGAGAGGACAGCACCTGGGGACCTGCGCAGCCAGGGATTGATGCTGTGAGCCACACTGAGTTTGGTTATTTTTTTTCCTTCGGCCCATCCTTCTTCCACTAATTCAGTCACAAAATCTTTCTTATACCCATCTTCCACATCAATTCATTTGCAAAGCCAGGAGAGGATGGATACAGCTGTCTCAGTGGTTCTGCATGTCTGCTCCTTGTTGGACTAATTTGACAGACAGGCCTAAAATCAATTTCAGTACCCGAAGTAGTTTGGGAGTTGTTCAATTCAGCTCTTGCTACTCAGGTAAGCAGCAGGTCCCCTGGTGTCTGTGTTTCAGCTCCTCCACCACACAGGCAAAGCATGAACCCCAGAGAAAACAGCAGAGGGACCCATGAATGTGTTAGAAACCTCCACTTCACCCCAGTGATCAGCATCCTAGCGCAGCAGGTGCCTGGGGCCACTGAAGCAGAGTAAGTCAGGAAGTTGATGGAGCTAATAGAAGTCATTCACCAGCCAGGATCACTGGCCAGCCTCTCTGTGAGAGGTATCAAATGAAAACAAGAACTATGATGAGAATGGTGCAAGCACATCAAGGGGTGCTGTCTCCTAAATTGCTCCTAAACCCAGCCAGGGCTTAGCAGTGAGTGGTGACTGCATTCTCATCACTGGCACCTCACTTTCCCAGGGAATGGCTGCATCTCCTGGATTCTCCTGTGGTCCCGTGGAGGTAGATTTCCCATGGCATCCCCCAGTGCACTCCCACGTAACAGCCCTCACAATGCTCTCTCTCACAGGGCACACCATGCTCCCCTACTTGCACACCCCAGGATCCCAGAGAAGACAGACTTTGGTAACTATTGTTGTGTTTGAGGCTTGTGATGTACAGGCTACAGGCTATTTCAAAAGTTTATTCAAGTTGCTGTGGTTTAAACCCAAGCCAGCAACTAAGTACAGCACAGCCTTTCACTCAGTCGAACCACCCTGCCCCAGTGGGATGGGGAGGAGAATTGGAAAAGAGTAAAGTCTGTGAGTTGAGATAAGAACAGTTCAATAATTGAAACAAAGTAAATATTAATAATAATAACAATCATGAACAGAGAGATAGAGAGAGACATAATAAAGACAAGAAATGCACACTACAACTGTTCACCACCCTCTGACCTATGTCCAGCCCATCCCCCGGAGCAATCAGTCTCTCCCAGCCAACTCGTCCATTTTATCCACTGAGCAGGATAATCTATGGTCTGGGAAGTCCCTTGGGCCAGTTCTGGTCAGCTGTCCTGTCCATGCTCCCTCCCAGCTCCTCGTGCACTTGCTCCAGTGGCAGAGCATAGGAAACAGAAAAGTCCTTGACTTAGAGTAAGCACTACTTGCAATAATTAAAACATCAGTGTGTTATCAACATTATTATTCCCATATTAAATACAAAGTAAGGTGCTGTAACAGCTACAAAGAAGAAAATTATCTCCATCCCAGTTGAAACCAGGACACAAGCACTTAAAAACCAACTTAACTTCATTTTTCTGGGCCAAAGTTGTGGCCACAGGACATGCTGTACCCACGGGTAAGTTCTGCAGGAGCCCAGCTCCCCTGAAAGGAAGGTAAGAGTCAGGGTGTTAGGCTGCACGGGGAGACAACACATTTCCTCCCAACCTTATGACACCCACCAGATCCCTAAAGCCCTGCAGGGTGAAGTAGCAGAAGGCAAGAGTCTGCATCTTTCCTTTGCACAGATCCTGTAGCCCAATATTTGAAATTTCATCATAACTGAGGCATAGACTTTGGACTTGCTGCCACAGCCTTCTTGCACTTGCCAGGTTTAGACACCCTTTTCCCCCTCTGCAGGGTACCCAGACAACTGGCCAAAGGCAAGGCGGACTGGGGATGTGCCTCCCTGGAGGCAGAGCTCTTCTGAGAGATAAAAACAGCCCTCAGCTTCCCTCCAAGATGCCCACACACACCTAGAAAAAGCTTTTGAGAAATTAAAAAGCACCGAGGCATCCTTGAGCTGAGGACAAGGGGCCTGTTTTATTCTTACAAGTAATTAACCTTATAAGTATTCATTACAAGTAATGAACCTCATCCTGTGTGTGGGGTAGCTGGGAGATTCATCCTCATCAGAATATGTCTCATAAGAATCCATCAGACCCATCAGTCTTCCAGAGGCTGTGGGGCAAGGTGCCTGGCTGAAGCATCCCAATGTGTTCCTATGCCACCAGGAGCTGGGGAGCTTGCTGAGCCAAGAGCAAGGGCTGACCTTGGGTACCCAATTTTCCAGGCAGTCCATCAGCTTCCCTAGCCATCACCCCAGTTCCTCTTTGTGATCCCTAGGTCCCTCTACATAATGGTCAAATAAAGCACAAGGAAGATGATCAGGGCCAAAACACAGAGCAAAGAGCTGCCGATGCAGCAGCAGCGTTTCCAGGGGAAGTCACTATTGGAGGGTGAGGGGTGCTGGGTCGGGCCTGCATGGGGCCTTAAGCCCTGGCATTTTAGGGTCTGAGAGGTCCTGGACATATTTGCCTTCCGGGCAACCCGTGCTGGGGCTGGCTGCAATTTAGTGCAGTGGGTCCTGGCCTTGCCCACACTGATCAAGGGCTTAAAGTCATCTGATCCCAGAGACAACCACGACTCAGGGCGACAGGTCCCGGCCTCCCCCAGATTTGTCAACGACTTCCAGACATCCGATGGCCAGGCCAGCTGTGACTCGCTGCTGTGCATCCTGGCCTTGTTCTCATCCGTCAAGGGCTTCCAGGCATCCAGAGCTGGGGCCCTTTGGGACCTGCTGCAAATGCCAAGCTGGCAGGCCTCGCAGTGGGCACGGTCATGTGGCCCTGTCACCGGTGTATCCACCACAACTTCCAGGAGGTCAGAGGGCTGGACAGGCTTTTTGTAGAAATACTGGAGGATCTTTATCACCAGGTTGTGCAGAATTGTCTCCATAGTCTCCAGGCTGAACTCAGGATCCTCCAACTGGGAGTTGGGGCAGCGCCTGCATTTCTGGCGAAAGATTCGCATCTGTACCGTGCCCCAGCCTTGGCAGTGGCACATGTGGAACAGGATGTGCACTTTGGCAGAAGACCACTTTTGAAAGCACTGGGAGCACTGAAAACTGGGAGCACAGGGCAAAGAGGAGACCAGCTCATCCCAGGTGCCCCATGCTCAGCCAGAGGCTTTCAGCACAGTCATTAGGGACGAGGGTTAACACAGACCATGGACTTTCTTCACTCCTGCAAGCTTTACATCAAACTGTTCTCCCTCTAACAGCATGATGCCAGTCTGGAAAGTTCACCACAGATATGAGCTGAGGGCTGGTCCCAGCATTAAAGATTTCAGAAGCCAGGCTGTCTGCTGGAATCCTGGCCCCACTGCCAAAAGCAGGGACCCTTGGGGTGGGAAGCATCAGCTCCCTATTTGGGATTCCAGCCCCTCACCCATGCTGGCTCATCACAGTTCAGTGGAAAGCCAGCATCAAGCCCAGTACTGGGTAAGACAATAAAAAGAAGTAAAGTAGAAGAAAGGTGTGGGTGGAGGGTGCACGTCAGGTGAAGGGATATCTTGAGGAGCCAAAAGGTGTGCAGCCCACAGCTCTTCATCTTGCACAATCTTCATGAGGGCTGGCAACCAAGGTCTACATTTGCTGCCACTCAGGCAGGGTGTCTGAACAATGCTCAGGGTGGAAATGTTTGAGATGGGGCTCCTCATCAGCAGTGCAGAGGCACAGCCTCCCTCTGCCCACACCTGATGCAGGTGCAGGGGCTGCTGAGGCATCACCCCATGTCCCAGCACACAGTGGTTCTCCCTCTTCTCATCCTCTGGGTGCAAACCCAGAAGATTTGGTTCTAGTGAGATATAATTTCCCCTACTTGTTGAAGGAGCTCTTTTCATTTTGACAACATGGGGAAATTCTGGCCAAATAACAGCTGTCCCTTGGCTCTATGGAGCTGCTGAACTATTCTCCCCTCCAATTACCATGTTTTCCAGTTTGGCAGTAACCCACTGAGATTCAAACAAAAATGAAGAAACTCTTCACAGCCTCATCCACCTCCAAACCCCCCCTTTTGTTCAAAAACCTGTTTCCTGCTAGCAAATTTTGAAAAGGGAAAAGGTCCACAAGGCAACTCATCAACCCTGATCCCATTTTAACAGGGACTGTCAGCAGCTCCCTACCTCCCAAGAGCACGGCGCTGCACAAACTCCTTCCAGCCAGGCCTGCAAGCCTGCACCTGCAGGCCATCATCCTCCAGAAGTGTCCACGGATCTGTTATGTGCATTTCTTCAATCTTCACTGCAAAAACGTTCTGCCACTTGCTCATAGTTCCACTTGAAGCTGGGGAAGACGCAGCGACCAAGTGTGCAAGTCAAGCTTGCAGCTTCTGAATGCTAATACACATGTAACTGCCTTTTCCCTACACTTTTCCTCTTGTTTTTGTGCTTGGAGAGGGGAACCTTTGCTCCTGCAGGAGCAGCACCACCCCATCCCAATCTCTGGGTCAACAGTCTCTGCTGACACTGCACCAGGTCTTGGCCAGGTGAAATGCACCCTAAAGCAAGGACAAGGTGGTTTTTCCTCAATATATATGCATGAACCTCTGACCTTGGAAAGCCACAATGCTGCTCTGTCCATAGGCAGAAAGACTGGAAACAAAACCCCCTGCCAGGCTGCCCATCACATTCATGGCAGTGGGGAGAATTCAGAGAGACTTGCTCGGCTTAGGAATAATGAAAGTGAAACCCATCAAAAATGCAGGACTCAGCAGCTCCAGATAACCTTATCTCTCTCAATAGCTGCCACCAACCATGGGCTATTTTTACCAACTTTCAGCCAATTTGAGCAGTAAAAGGCCTAACATGAAACTGCAGGGTGGAAAGTTGGGGAGGACAGCATGGTACGTAAAACCAAAGGAGATGAGGTGTGATCTGAGCTGAGTGCACCCAGGCAAGGTATAAACAGCAGGGCTAGGGCTGCCCGCAGCCCTCTGCCTTCCATCTCACCCTTCTTGGGGTGCACAGATCCCCCAGGAAATCTTCTGGAGACCAATGCAGGACTGAGAGTAGGTTAGATAAGATGCCAAATGATAACAGGTCTTGAGTTTGAGAAAGATCTTGATAAGATGGGTTTAGCTCCAGGCAGTCCATGTAGGTAAATCCCAGGAACCACAGCCTGGCAGGGAGGCCCTGATCTTCACTGCTGGAAGGGAAAAGCCAGAAAGTCGTTTGTACCAAGAGCCCTAAAACACCTTCACAATGTGTGCTGGCCCTCTTGTGAGAGCAGAGGCAGGTAAGGAGTTCCCAGGGCAGAGCAAACCTTCAGTTTCCACATTTTCCTTCTTTGAGCTTCCTTCCACTCTCAGTTACACCTTGATCCCATCACCTGGAGCAGGACTGGAAAGAAAGAAAGTGCTTGGAAGCAGAGAAGCCAAGATAAGGTCTTCAGGAGGCTTATGAAGAGGTAGAAAGCTTCAAAACCTAGCTGTGATGGAAACCAGTGCCCTGTGACGTCATGGCAGCACAACTCAAATCGCGACCAACAATGTGCTGAGATTTCACAGTCATCTCTGAGACAGCCAAGTGCTGGTCCCTCTATTAAAGCTTTTGACTTGCTTTTACTAAAGGGACTTTCCTAGAACAACCCACAGAGACGAAATTGCTTTGACATCCTGTTCCATTTTGCACACACCTCCTGGCTCTGCCCAAGCATCTTGCTGCTTATCAGTGCCTGCCTGGAAACAAAAGCTGCTCCTACAGGATCTCTCCACAGCCTGGCCTCAGCAGGGAGTGGGGACAAGCTCTGCCCTCCACACAGCATGACCTTGTTGGGCTGGCAGCTCTTGCCAGGGTCAGATCCTGCCAATCCTCTCCATTCCATCAGGCTGGTCATGGCTTCTCCGTGGCATGAGTGAAGGAAACACACACGGTGCAGCCTGGGTGGTAATTTCCCTGCTGTTTTCACAAGCACAAAATTATTTTTGACTTGAGCTCCCACCCCTGGGTGAGCCGCCTCTGTGTGCGCAGGAAGGTTTCCCAAAATTCTTTCTCCTCCTCTTCATCTCTCACTATGTGTCAGCCTCCACATTCTCCACTCTTCCAATCAAGGGACAAAGTGCCCACATTGCCCATGAGGACCCTTCTTGGATCACAAGCGTCCCGTTCCTGCTGGGACATCCATCCCTTCCATCCTTCCAGTAGTCCCTGGAAGGGGCAGAAAGGGACATTCAACCCCAGACCCCATGCAGGACTGCAGAGACGAACATCCCCTGAGCAGTGGGGATGCTATGTCCATGGGCACATCAAGGTTTGCAGGATAGATGAACTGACATCTAAGCAACAGGGCAGAACCCTAAACATTTCTCACTGCTTGCTTCATACTGAGGCGTCTTCCCATTCTGAAGACTTCCCTTTTTCCTATGCTGAACACATCCAATTCTTTTCCATCAGTCATTCTTTCAGGAAGTTTTTGCTCATTTCTACAGGTCATCAGGGTGAATTCAGTTTCTAACCCTCCACCTAACCAGTCCCTACACCCTCCTTCAATAGCATCTTGCTTTCATGTGAGCCATCTCTGTTGGATGTGTCTGCTGCACGAGCTATTGATAACTGCTCATGGGATAGAGCTTCTTGAGAATCTGTCCACCCACAGAGGCAGAATTTCCCATTCCCGCATTTGCTTATGAGAATGTAATGTAAGGCAGCACAAAGATAGCATCACTCCCACTTTCCCTGTGGTACCCAGTCTGTCACCCTAATGAAGAGAAAATAAGGATGGTTTGACACAAATTCTTGCTAAATCTGTCTTCTCAGCCCCAGCACTGCCCTGTCAGTGTTTGCCACTTGGTGGTAATTTGTTCCAGCAGTTTTCTGGGTACTGAGGCAGGTTGATTCATCTAGAATTTCCTGGATCCTCTTTTTTCCACTTCCATGAAGCAGATGGTGAAGTGGGTATTCATATCCTCCTGGGACATGGCTCCATGACAGCTCTCTGTGCCTCAGATCCCCTCCAACCTTGATGCAGTTGACAGTGAATGGTTGTCACCCCATCGTGGTGAAACCCATCAGCTCTAGGGACAAGCAATGGCTACAGGTTCCCTTCCATGCTGGACTGACTGCACAGCTAAGCCCTTGGAGCAGAGGGGTCCATCTGTCTAAGGGTGGATTTGAAGAAAGGAGGATCACTTCCTCTGGAAATGGGGCTATGCCCAAACTGGACTGTAGAGAGGGCACATTGCCCCATCATCCTGGACTTCTAGGATGGAGAGGAATGCTGAGCAATGGAGAGAGATTTAAGGGGGCAAATGCATACGAAGATATGGGCAGGTGTGACCCCATATGGATTTAGGCTCCTTGTTCACTCAGTGAGCCTTGTGATGGTGCCTCCAGGTGTAAGGACTGAGCTCAATGCCTTCCAATAAGGCTTTGCTCCAATGCCATGGGTTTGGTCTTGGAACAGAGGAGCAGGCAGGCACAGGGCTCCTACCTGGCCCTCCACACTCCATGCACCAGGATCTGGATTGCCAGCTCCCTCATTGATCATCACATCTCACCAAAGGGAAGAAGAGAGGAGAAGTAATTCTAAAGACAACTCAAAGCAAAACTAGAGAAAGCAGAATTTGAGGGCAGTGGGAGGAAACACAGATACTCTGTAAATCTACAACAGCTCAGTGACAGGTAGGATGAGATTCTCGGGGGCCAGGATGGAGGAAATGTTGTGGACTCAGACCCGTTAGGACACACCAAAGCTGTGCAGCCTGGCCATGGTTAGGGGTCTAGGCAGCCTGAGCAGCAGCCCACCCCTCCCACCACCAACCACAGCACCCACCAACTCCCTCCAGCCTTTCTCTTCCAGGAACAACAGTCACTTTCCCAGACAGTCAAGGCCATGGCAATGCTCCCACACCACAGTTCCTGACAGACCATCCCATCTGCAAGCCATCCCATTAACCCAGGGGACAAATAACACACACACCTGATGCATCACCTCTAGCCCAACGTCTCCTAACCAAAAACCTCTGAAACATCCCAGTGACCAGGACAGTGGTCACTTGAAACTGACCCTACTGTCCTACAACCTGACCACCTCTTCTCCCCTTGGCATCTGCAATGCCCTGATGTTCAGGAACTGTGCCTTGCTGCTCCATGGCATGGCCCTCCTCACAGACACAGCTGAAAAGTGTAGGAAAGGATTTCCTTTCCATCTTCATCTGCCTGCCCAGTTCTCCCAAGACATGATTTATGAGTTCAGGTTTCTTGAGGAGATGTACCCTCACATGTTGTTCCCAACCACCTTTAATCGAGGCTGGGGTGTATAAGGAGCCAGGCTGGCTCTCAAGCATCATGTAGGAGATTTTTGTTTGCTTAGGTATACCCAGGTATGTTGCCACACATCCAGATTACTGCAGATGCTGACAGGGATCAGTCTCAGCTCTTTGAGGTCTCCCAGAGGGCTCTGGCCATTCCCCATCATCAAAACCCTAGTGTGGGACCAGGGTGAGGCTCTCCAGAGGTTTCAGCTGGAGTGTGGTCACAAGGGGCTGATGAAGCATTTTGGCACGGACAGTGGTGGCAGCCACTCCTCGGGGGAGTGCTGGGTGCCCGCGGTTGGAAGAGGTTGCTTTAACTGCCAGACCAGACTGTACAGGAAACACCGCAACTCCAGCACCTGCAAGAAACACCTTGGCTGCTCCTGGGTCTCACACAAATGGGGGTCCTGAGGGGATGTGTGTCTGTAGGGGGAAGGTGTGGTATTTGGTACAGTGGCTGCGCAAATCTGGGGGTGTGGACACAAATTTGTCTGGTGAGTTGTTTGCACATCTGTGTGTTCATGAGCATTTGTGTGTGCTTGCACATGTGTGCATGAAGAGCTCCTGCACACAAACACACCCCACTCCCCATTCCCAGGAAGGTGTGGGGTGACACACATCTCAGGTCACTGCTTGGTTTGGGGATGCTCAGCCAGCACAGCCAGTGCCATGCCAGGTTCAGGGGAGTATAGCTCATGTCTGTTAGTGCTGGGCATCCTGTGCTCCAAGCAGGGCTGGGAGGTGGTGTCTGGCAGCCTGGAGCATTCCCACCACTCACCCACACATCTTGAGGCCCCAGCCTTCCTCCCTGCAAGGAGGCAGCCAGGACTGCTGGGACACAGGCAGTGCTGCAGGCTGGATGGTCTCCCATGGAAAATGGCAATGGGCAAGTCATCTTTTGCTACACCTCCAACCCCACTGGATGGTTTGGGAGCCTCTGGTCAGCTGCAGATCACCATCCAACCAGAGAGGAAAGGACTCAGCCCCAACTGCACTTGGAGGAGTCATAGCTGCAGCTGGGGGTGCAGGGAGTGCTGAAGATCTGGCATATGTGCTGCCTGAGAGATAGGATGGAAAATATGAAGCAGGGTCCACCCTCTCAGCAATGTTAATGTTGTGTCTCACAGGAA